TGTTGATGCTCCTTTTCCCACGGAACGGTCTGGCTAGCTTCCATCGCCTATCTCCTCGATGTTCTTCCACATTTTCCCATACAATGATGAATATAGTGAGTAGTCCAACCTCAGTTTAGGTACTGATGATATACATTGAAAAATGTCTTCTCTTTAAAAGCTACTTTGGCAGCAACATTTTAGATTAATGGCAAGTGACAGGTCTGTATTATTAAAGCAACTTTAGCTACAGACCCAGGGAGAGCTGAAAGTTTTAACAGATGTGATCCTGGCATTTATAGGTGGGCCTAAAATGTAACATATTGCTTCTTTTTTCCTTTTCTCTAACGTCTTATCTGCCCCCTCAACACTATTTACAAATGTTAAGTCCATTGACAGTAAAGCTTGCATTTCTGCATTGTCATGCATGGACTAAGTTGTCCACAGACTCCCATGGATGCGTAAACCACAGATTGAAAACTATTGATTCCTTGCCTCTCTATGGAGACCTCACATAAGCCAAGACCATCTCTACCAAGCAGTTCCTCATGACTTCCTTCAAGCATTTGCTATCCTATGTGACAGAACACCCTTGTTAACATTCATGCAATTCTCTTCCTCTCTGTTGCAGAAGGCCACTGTCATTGCCATGCCTGGTACAGGCTGACATGCAGTTCAGATAATTCACTAGTCTGAGGAAGCTATTGACTTCTCTCTTCAAATCTATATTCTCTGTGCTTGCAAAATAAAGGAATCTTTTTGCTGTGACTCTTTCTGTCATTATAACTCCATTAATCAGTTTCTCCAGGAAGGCTAAGAAAGTGCTGAGAGATAACAAATAGCCTATGCACTGCCAGTTATCACCTTGAGCCAGTTGTGTAGTCTGTGCTGTTCACCAACACTACTGATCTCATTGCATCTTAGATATTTTTAGGAGCTACCCTTGTCTGTCTCCTGTGAACCACTAGCACTTTGTGAACCACTAGGTAAAGTGCTTTATTAAAGCAGAATGACTGATGACTTTCATCTTGTTAGTTCCAGACACTGAGCAGTGGCTTGTTCCTCAGACATACTTCTCTGTACCATGAATCTTTTGAGCAGGATATAATTTCACTGATCATCCATCTTACGGTGCCTTGTGCAACTTGGCAGTTCACCTTTCGTAGGTGCCATCAGCAGAAGTGACTTTCCTTATTAAGAGGTTTTCTTTTCTTTCCACATATTATAGAGTACACGTGACTTCCGGAATAGACCATCTCCTCCTTCTATCGCTTATCTCTGCTTAGAGCCATCTAAGCCATCTCTTTGGACCTTGTCTTCCAGTCACTTATGGTCAACACTCTTTAACTTCCTCCAGGAGGATGCCATCCTCATCATCATCTGCTTGTTCAAGTCTACATTTTGAATATCATATTGTCTTTAGGATGTCTCTTTCCTGAGATCATCAAAGTCTCAGCCTTGATAATCTAGAGTCTGCCTGGTAGGTCTTCCTTCTCAGTCCTTATTATTATTAATACGTCTCTCAACCTGGAAATCTGAAGTTAATTCCATAATTTCAAAGTTCCCAGCAAATTGGTTTGTTTCCACCTTAGCTGCTCACTTGCATTTTCTGCAGAGTTTTTGATAATCTTCCCATTCATAGTTTGTAGGCCCATTCATAGTGCCCCACGGCCTTTGGCTTTCCACAGGCCAGGATATCTTGTGATATCAAAGACATCTTAGCTACTTTCCTAGCATAGCTAAGCCAGAACTTTTCAGGATTAATTTAGTTACCTGTAGGTACTCTTCAGCACTCTGTTCTGGACTGAGTCCCAAAAGCTTGTGGGCTCACCATCTTTTCACGGTCCAGTTTTACTACAAGTCTTTCTGGTGTCTTCAATTAGTTTCTTGTTTTGCCTTCACTGCTCATGCTGCTGGGAAGCAACAGGAGATTTGCTGCAGGGAAGCTTTGTCACTGAGATAAACAATGGGCAAGTAAGCTTTTAGGGAAGAATCAGCCTTGATCTTGTCAATACCAGGTGGTTAAGTCAATTTCCTACTTAGCTTGAACATCATAATGCACATGTAGGTGCTGTAGAAGCTCGTGAAGAGAAACAATCATTCATTTGTTAATTTGTGGCTCCATATCCGCACTTAATCCTGACAAACCTTCCTGCAATGCTATCATCAGTCTTGATATTCCAGTCATCAGTCAATACACAAACATTTATCTTAAAGTGCTCTCTAGACCCTTGCCCTCATAATAGCATCATGTGATTTCCTGAAGCATACAGAAAATGTAAATGGATTTCATATATGTCAAGTACACAATAGACAGAATAACTAGACTCTGGGCTCCTCTAATATCTTCTGAAGATCATTAAAAAAAAATCTATATGTCACAGTCACCAGGTTTTAGGAGTACACTCTGCCTATCAACTCCAAACTTCACTGACTTGTAACAAAAACAATAAAAAACACAACTTAAACTGCACAAATTTGCTCGGTATAATGTTGGTCTATACAATCCCTTTGCAGAGGCATTTGGCTCACAGCACTCATGAGTTTTATGAAAGGTACAACAAAAAGCCACATCCTCATTTACATCTCCTATCACACACAAAAAAAATTGTAAATTAGATGAACACTGTGCAGAGAGACAAGCACAGAATCGTATGGCTAATCAAATGCATTATTTATTATTTAGTAGAGCTTCTGTAACACAATTCTGTACATTGATTTATTTATGAAGTGCAATAAGAAAGAAATGGAATTGGCCTATGAATAAAATAAAGTTTTATATTCAGCTAAAATGTTAAATAAAATTGCAACTAACAAATATGAGCGGAAGAGGTGCCATAATGTTCGTATTTATGCCTTGGGAAATACTGACTTAAATACATCAAGGAAAATGAAGGAAGGCACATACAGTATCTGTGAAAGATGACACCCAGCTTCTGGTTTCTCAGGCCACCAAAGAGCTTGTGCATTATACGCAGTAGGAATGAGAGCTACTCTTTACATGAAATTCATCATCATCCTGAGCGTTCATGGAAAACCATTCACACCACTGCCAAGCTTGGCACTGAGAGAGGTTTGGCTTGGCACCACCAACACTAAAGCCACAATAATTCTTAAAATAAAATTTGTCACCAGACACCGGGAAGGTGACTCAGAACACAAGATCCTGTTCTCCACGTTTGTTTGGTCTTTAGACCCTGCTGGCACTGTCAGTAGTGATGATCCCTAGCATCAGTTCTTATGGTAGCTTCTCTGACATAAAACCTTTTGCAGACTCATGGGAGGCAACAGAGATAAGCTGAATAACAGTACTGAAAAATATCCTCTCTTTTCATCAAATCAGAGTCAGAGTGTTAGTACAGTATCAGTGACTCTCCCGGAGAGCAGCTCTCTGGCTTCCTGCTGTCTGGAGTTGGATTTCTAATTTTGTAACTGAAGTGCCTTAGATTGCCTCACAGTATACTGAAATTGAGTGTAAAGCCCAGGGGCTTTACTTTTCTCTCCACTTTATCTCAGAAATGGAAATTAGTCCCAGTTAGTGAGATTCTGAATGTTGTGGTTCTTCACACAAACTACAGGAATCTTTGTGGGCCTGCACATGTCACTTCATATCTAGTTAATGATGTTTTAAGTTAGCATAACTGTACAGGAGAGTACTCTAGTTATCCTTAAGCAGAGTTAACTGAATGAACCTATAAAGTGAAGAAGCACATAAAGAAATTGAAAAAGTGTCATTGATGGGTGTACAGCTAAATAATTTCATTTCTATATTATTCATTGCACACACTAAACTATAATAATTTTTGGTCCTAGTTTTTCCATTTGCTACATTTCAACTTCACAGCTTTCTTTCATTTTCTAAATCTCATTTTTTCCAGAGCTGCCAATGGAAGTTTTGTTTGACTGAACTGGAATTTAAAAACTGAGTGAAGATCAGAGAGGTGTTAAAAACTGAAAACTTTTGGGTGACTGGAGAAAAAAGTGTAGCAGACAATTTATCAGTTTCAGAGAGCGGTGGTAGGTGGCTTCAATGGTTTCCCTAATGCTCAGACACTAAGGAAAACTCAGAGCGCAAAGAAACTGCTAAGGCTTTTTGCTGTTATGTGGCCTGAAAAGAATAGTCTTTATGACTTGCTCTGCATTGGCTTAGTTCCTGTATTACCAGCAAAACAACTGCCTAGCAACCCAGATTTTCCCACAACATTTCCTCACACGCATAGTATGCCCAGAAAAAAAGCATAGCACCTAATAATGTTTCTGGATAATCCCCTTATTTGAGAGCTATACTTAGTCCTCTGTGCACATTTGTGCTCTAACTACAGGGCAATTGCTGTTGTGACAGGAGTGCAGGCAAAGTCAAATCAGTCACATCTGTGCTGCGAGCCGCGCAGTAACCCTGTGCACCCTAAACAGGTTATCTGTGTATCAGACAGACAGCATACTTGCTGTTTCCCTCCACCATATTTCCCTTAACAAAGGCAGGAAGCCATAACTGTTTAGCAAAAAGTTACAAATATCCTCTATACTGAAAAAGCTGCTTTGTTTATAGTAAGGGAGATCTCTAGCTCACACTCCACAACTGTAGGAAGAGTCCGTCTGAAGGCATAAATAATTCAGTAATTTTTAGAAACATGCTAGTCTGAACATACAAAATTGCTTTTACAGTTACTACCTTTAAGGAGCACTTATAGTAATACAGTAGGTTTACTAATGGCTGCATATTCTTATCTGACATCCCAGCTGCAGCAATATCTTGCAACTGAATATTCACGCTACTTTCCTCATAGTTACAGCATCAGTAAATGAAGGAGTCGCCTCAAATCTTCTGCAGCTGTTTTTGAGCAACATGCTGGGAGGACTACAGAATTTCTGAGCTTGCCCATGTGTGTTATATGGCAGCACAAGGCTTCTCATCTCTCCCAAAGATATTGCAGCTTGAGAAGCATTGTAAATAAGCTTTAGGCAGCACAATTAAGACAGCACTCTTAATCAAACACACAGAAATTAAGGCAGCAACTTACTTGCCCTCCTCATAGCTTCCTCAGGAACATTGTCTTTTCAAATGAGTGTAACAGGAAATTGTGGTAATTACGGGTAAGCTACGCGCCTGCAGCTCAAACCACTCACTGCAAAATGCAAAGGCAGTCAGCGCTGGCTTGTTAAGTTACAGCCGACAGCCCCCTCCCCTTCTTCTTCTGCTTTACATGTAAATCTTAAACAGACACCATGCAGAAAGAAGTTGCTTTAACTAAGACCCACGGGAAATACGTCTGCAAAAAGGCTTTATTACTCATGATAGCTGTATGCTTAGAATAACAGTACTCATGGAAACTTTGAGACCTACAGATGAAAAGCATCCTAGATGTGTTATCACTTGTTATTGAATTTATCTGGAGATGCGTTCACTGTCCTTTTTAAAGGCAATACTGACATATAGAGATGAACCTAGACCCTTCTTGCTCCATCTTTTGCTGCAGTCTGCCACAGAGGCCACTGAGGAGAGATGTCTACACTCATGAGTTGAGGATTATGACTGACAGTAAAGGGTTACAGAGCAGGTTCAAAGCCATTTCCACAAGCCTTTGCATTCTCCGCATGAGGAAACCCAGACAGATCAGGAGAAAAGGGGCAGGCTGAGGCAAAACTTTGTCCACAGTGAATCGGGATGCTGTTCCTGCTTCTTGCAGTAGGGTTTCAGAGTAGGGCAGACTGTTAGTTGAAACAGTGCCAATCTCCTACAGCCCTTAAGATAGGAACTACAATCTCCTTTTTGTCTCTGAATTAGCACCTTACAGAAACAGAAGGCCACCATTAATACCTAGCTCAGAGAAATATTTATGTGTGACTGTGAACCCGTGGAAAAGCTCTGATAACATCAGATACTGCAGGCGGTTTGGCACATCTTTAACAACTGGATTGCCTCACCAAAGTTTAAACTTTCAACTCTGCAGCTGTGTCAAACTCAGAACCCACTGGATGGCTAGATAAGGTAGAGACTAGCGGCAGAGCAATCAAATATTCAAGCAAGTGGATGAAATGCTGTTAACTAAGTTCTAGCTGTAAGATCAAATTATTTCTCTTGTGACACCTGAAAACTCATGAGGGGGTGGTGTGGCTGCACAAACCAGCAGAATTAAGAGAAAAGAGCAATTGCACAGGTTTGCTGAAGGGCAGATCTTGCCTAAAGAATCTGAGTTTCTGGACACGAGTCAAGAAACTTGCAGAATGCCCTTAGAATTGCAGGCTGACTCTGCAGGGATAGTGATTAGGAAAAACGTATTTCTGTTTGTAAGATGAGTCAACACCATGACATAGACCCCGGGAGGCCCTGCTTACGCAGCTACATATAAGACCAAAAAAATCACTGGAGATGCGCATTTAAAAGGAAACATCTGTGCCGGCAGCTAAAGCAAGTTAGCAATGCTCTGTTGCGTAACACAAGTAAAGGGACATAGAGAGTCCCAGAAGGAAGAGTTTTACCTAGCTTCAGTGAAATTGCATCTGGTTTCTTCTCGTTTCTCCCCATTAAATATTTCCAGTCTTTCTTCACTGCATCTGCAGACAGTCTGAGCAGCAGTGAGTATCTGGGAAAAATTAGTTTGAACTGTCCTAGAATACTCAGCTCCACCAATGCACCTGTCATGCAGGTTATTTGATACCATAAGTAACTTTGCCACTTTTTGAGGAGCCGTTACCATCCTATCAGCAGGTATATGAGATTCAGAGGCTCTTCTCTGAGAAGAGGGAAGTAGGATGAATGCAGCCGTCCTTGATGGTTGTGTGTGTGAATGTGTGTGTACATGTGTAAGTATGAGGGTATGAGAGAAGAGTAGGTGATAACTGCAGCATAAGATCTGACAAGAATGGAGGATGTTACTAGCTGGCTGAAGCAAAAAGCTAGTCCTCTGAAAAGTCAGAAGTATTTCTGCAATTGATCTAGAGCAAAAGGCCCTTTTGCCCTTGAGTTTCACCTTCCATTTTCTCCCTGGGTTCCTCTTATTGCCCTAATCCTTTTTACTGTTTCCCTATCAAGCTCCCCTTCGCTTTCTAGCTTCCTAACTTACCTCTATTCCTGTTACTAGAAAGATTTTCTAATAAATAATGATATGAATGAAAACCAAACTAAAGGCCTTTTTATGCCTCAACTATTTCCCTTTCTCCCCTTCAGTGCAGACTGTTCTATGCGACCCTTTGGGATTGTGCTCTCTCTCTTTTATTTTTTACTCACAGCTTTTACAGGTATAGCCACCATTTCTCTTTCTTCTGTTCAGTATTGCTAACTCCTTTGTGGAAGTTCATCCAACCTTCCTGTCCTCTCTCTCCTAGCCCATCACTCTGCTCAGAAATTATTTTCAGCCATACTGCCTTCATGTAACCGAATAACAGAATGGGGAGGAGAAGAGGCCCCAGCAGTTACATGCTAGGGACCAGCTTCACAAAGGGCCATGAAGGACTCCAGAGCCCTAATCCTCGCATGTTCGTCCCTGACAACAGCTAGGGCTGAGTGGCATCTGAACAAGCTAGTAGGAAATGCTTTAATCGTGAACTCTGTAATGGACTCAAACATAGGTTCTGGTGGTTATTTGATTACCTAGCTGCCAGGAAGATTCCCTTGAGAAGCTGGGTATTATGCACCTAACTCTTTGCTACAGGCAAGCACTTCCATCCACTCTGTACTCACAGACGTGAAATCCCTCCTGAAACTAAGCACCTGTGCCAGTCCTTATTCAAAATCTCACAATCGCTTTTGTCAGAAGACCTCTGCTTTTTAATAAGCCACAGCTTGGAGCTTCCTATTGGTATATGGAAGGTCTGAATTCAGTTTTACCTCCTCCTAAAACACTGCAAACATGTATTTTCCTATCTAGATGCTATTATGGAACACAGGTGGCCATATTGCTGGCTTTAAACGCACATCAAAAATTTCATTTGGCTGACAGCCACAAGCCACATATTAAGAACTTCTCTGGAATCAGTTCATAGGGAAGAGATGCCAACGCGGCCCCAGAAGACCTACCAGCTTCGGCCTCAGCATCATCTGATGCCTCACTTTGCTCAGGAGCAGATTACCGAGCATCCCCAAAGTCATTTCACTTCTGCAGATGCAGGTCACAACAACTTTAAGTGACCTGGAAGCTGCAGCCTCTTATGGCTCAGGATTCACTAGGAATTCACTTAGGATTGGCTGCTTTTGCAACAAAATCTAATGGGATGGGGTTCCCTCGATTCCTCCTGTTGAAAGTATCTCACTTTGCCGTGAATATTTAAACATTCACAGAGTCTTTCTATAACCTTGAGGTTTAAGCATTCATCTGTCTTTAGGGACACTCATTTATTTGTAGGATTTAGTGCTATTTTTTCACAAGAGTGGAGGGAAGAACCCAAATCTTCTTTCCCTTCTTCAATCTAGACAAGTGGTCTGATCATGAAGTTATTGTCCTTCTCTAATTCTTTCATGAAGCTGTTCCATTTTGCAGTAGAAAAGATTAAAGCTGCCTCATCCTCCAACATCCTTTAGCTAATTTAAGCATGAGAAGTGAGTTCAAAAACTTGCAAACAGAGGATGGACTTGATCTTGGGCAAGTGTTTGAACTACCATGCAATGAGGAAAATATCTTGCCATTGAAGGAGATTCAGTGAACACCAAACGGAGCTAGTCTTACACATGAGCTCTGTGGATATTTGCTTAAAATAAAGATCTCAGTGTAGCTTAGCTACATAACAGGTAGCAACAGACTATACACAAAACATGCATTTAACTCCTGAGGGAACTTCACTGCTGGAAACTTGGCATACAGAAACTCCCATCTGGGTTGTGCAGAAGTATTGCAGGGGTTTTGGGGACATGAATTTTTAACTTAGATGGACAAATCTTTTTGTTTTTCTGACATAATACTCTTGCGGCTAAATGAAACACTGAAGTATTTTTTCTTGCTAGCAGGTATATTCCCTCATGGGATTAGTGGGGTTTAGCCACTGCCATTTTCTCTTGGGATATAGAGAAATGTTCAGACAAATATTTGTGAGGCACATTCTTGCTACCACTTGATTGCCTTTGGATAATGCTAGGCCATTATCTGCCTATAGATTAATCCCTTCATTGCATTAATCCAACGTGTTTAACTTGAGTGAGATCCCTTCCTGTCCTCATCCAAGCAAATATAACTGCAAATAATCATTTTCTCTTCAGAACAAATTCTAAGAGTTCTCAGAATGATCAGATCTGCTAAACCAGAGTTCTGCTTTCTGTAGTTTAGGCCTGAAAATGAAGACTGTAAAAGTTCACTGGGCGGATGACAAATACCTATAGGTTAAATAATTATTCTCAACAGGCTGTTCTGATATACACTGCCTGAAAAACATAAAAATTAGGCCCCAGTAATTAATATTAAAATCTTGGTTCTCTAGAGCTGATAGTACCATGTATAGTAAAAATACACTTTTTTTTTTTTTCTGAATGAATAAAGAGCTATTTGGGAGCTCAGCCTTTCCGCTATGCAAAGCTGTCTTCGTATTGGCTACTCTAATAATGGAGACTTTTTTGAGTAACATTTCTCAAATATGGTTACTGCTTCTTAATTTGTTTCTTCGGTTCAAACGACTGCTTCACTGTGTAGGAAGTATTTTCGTTTCAAAGCACCCTTTTTAAGGAAAAACTTCTGAAAATATCTGAATCATAGAAATGACCTGAAATTGATATTAGACATTTCCTTTCCAAATTCAAAATGGTGACTGATTTTATCAAGTTAAAAGACAACACCCAAACAATTCCTCATCAACTTATCAGAAAATTTATTATCATCACAGCTGGAAATAATCACTCATTCAGAAGGAATCCTGCAGTACATCTTGGGGAAAAAAAGAAAAAAGAAAAGAATTTTCCTGACCCACGAGATTGATTCATATCATTGTAAAGGAATGGTTAGCAATCTAAGGTAAGTGTTAGAAATGTAGCAATACTAACATTGTACGGCAAAAACGTATACAATATGATGCCCAAATAGATCCAGTTCCTTGATTTACCTCAACAATAACACAAAATATGGAATACCTGTGAAACTGCCATATTCCCAGCATTTCCAGCTGTGGGCTCACATGGCTGGAATTGCT